GGGAGGGCCCAAAAAGGAGGGGGGCCCGTACCCCCAAAAAAAAAAAAAAAAAAAAAAAAAAAAAAAATTATCTCTCTGAGGCAAAGGAAAAAAGGAGTAGTGAGGGAGAGCTAATAAGTAGCTTTTGCCATGTTCCCCAAAGTCCCAAGGGACCGTACCTGCATCTTTTCATAAGGAACATCATCATAGACTCGGGGCTCAGGCCACTGATCCTGGCAGGATCTTGCATATCTAGAAAATACAAGGGACGATGATGATGATGGTGACAATGATACTTATGCAGCTTACAGTGCTTTCCTGTGCATTCTCTCATTTGATTCTGGTCAGCACCTTTTAATGGAGGTCAGAAGGTTAGTGATAGCAACCATGCCAGGCAGGACTAGGACATTGATGTGTTAAGAGCTTTATAGGCAGGGACCCATGGGATTCTCATAACAACTCAGGAAGCAGGTGATTCATCACCTCCAATTTATAAGCGAGAAAACAGAGGATCCAGGCTGGCAAGCAACCAGCCCAAGCTGTTGGTCGTGATAGAGCCGTGACTTGAATATGGTACTTATAATGCCAAACTCTGCACACCAGCCCTGTGCCCGCCCAGAAGCTCAAGGGTATGGGGACACTAAGTATCCATGGCATGAGAGCAGAGCGCAGGCCACTGTACAAAAAAGTTTCTCCTTTCTGGCTCATTCCGTCCACAGTGTCCCCTGACTCTGGGCTACCTCCTTTAACCAGCTCACTCCTGCCTGCTAGAAGAGGAAGGCACCCACTCTGACTTCCCAAGGAAGCAGGCTTTCTCAGCCCTTCCTCCCTCCCCTCCCATTCCCAAGGCTGGACTCCGCCTCTGAGAGGGAGCTGAGATAGGAAAGTTTGCGGGTGGCCGTGGGCCATGGGGTGCCGGCCCTCACAGGAAGGAGTTGCGCCCTGCACTGACGATGCTGGTTAAGGTCTCCACGTCCACGTAGTCATAATGCAGCGCTTCGGGAGTGACTTTGGAGCCCATCTCCACCAGCAGCAGCCCGAGCCAGCGGCCCATGTCCTCGGAGCAGCTTGCCTGAGGGAGAGGAGGCACAAGCTTGGGTTCACTTTGGCACCATCAGAGCCTCTGGCTACCTGCTCACTTCAGCCAAACCCATATTCATATAGTATCTGTTATGTACCCAATACTTAGGGATCCAAGAGGAGCAAGACTAGAACACACATCCAGAAACCCAAGTGGCTCCCACCTTCCCTCTATTCAGGTCTTTGCTCTAAGGCTACCTCCTCAGAGAAGCCCTCCCTGACTACCTCTCTTAAGACACATAACCTCACTCACTATCCTCAGAGCCTTCCTGACCATTTGGATATGAAAACAAAATTCAGGTGTTCTCTGAATTTTTTTTTAATATTTGTTTTTTATTAAATGAGGAGGCTATTTATCACATAACCCAATCAAATTTTTTTCTTGTATTATAAATGCCAATTATATATAGTATTGTATACAGGAAAATCTCCAAGAAGTTGCTGGTCAACTAAACATATACTTATGTTCTTATTTAAAGAGGATTATTATAAAATCAAGTTAGCACACAAATACTGTACTTGAATTTAAAAAGCACACTTTTTGCCAGAAAGCTCTTTGTTTAATTGAAGTGAAATAAGAGACCCATCTCAAACTATCAGAAGTAAAAGTGACTTACAGAGTCAATATTTCCTGTAATTTAAGAACTGACACAGGCATTGGGTACTGGGCAAAGAAAACAAGACCAAGAGGCTGGGTCTTAGTTCTAGGAGAAGACTAGAGGCCATTGATCCTCTGTGGAGCTTTGGATGAGGCACATGCCTACCCTGGCCTCAGTTTTCTTATCTGTAATGTGAGGGCGTAGTTGTTTAAGTTTCCCTCCCAGTTAATATTTTAAATTCTAAACAACTGAAGGATTGACGTGTATAGAGAGAGTCAGCATATTCTGGGTGACCCCCGAGAGGAGGGCTAGGTATGAAAAATGAATGGGTGAAATGAAATCGCATTGTCATTCAGCCATTTGTTCAACAGATCTTAATTGAGCCCTTAGTATGTGCTGGACATCATGGTGGGTTCTGGAAAAACAAAAGTATGCAGAACAGTGTGGTTACTACCTTCACAGAGCTTAGGATTGCAACTCAATATGGAGAAAATCTTCGTAAAAATTTAGTTGCTTGGTGGGAGGAGCAAGCTACTTTGAAGGGCAGTGGTTTATCTGAGGTGAACAGTCACTGGTGGGTAGTAAATTTTAGAGAGGATTCCAGAATCAGATTGGAGTTATATCAGACGATGCCTTTCAGGTTTGGGATTATATTTCTAAGGCAGAATAAACAAACCTTGGGTCTAGGGTTGCCAGATTTAACAAATAAAAATGCAGAATTCTCTGTTAAATTCGAGTTTCAGATAAACCAGTGAATCATTTTTTAGTATAGGTATGTCCCAAATATGGGATGTACTTCTATTAAAAAGAATTATTTGTTGTTTATCTGAAATTCAAATTTAAGTGGGTGTTCTATAGTTTAACCAGCAGCTCTGTTGGTTACTTGGCAACAGTTGGCTTACTTTCCCTCTTCTTTAGTCCCTATAATGTCAGTAGCAAGGTACTGTGGACAAAAGCCAAAGTCCAGGCCAGAGCTCCTCTCACCTCCTACCACCAAGGCCCACCTGCATTTTCTCCTCTCACCTCCAAGATGGCGACCTCCTGCCGGTTGCGCAGGATCCTGAAGGCAAATGGGTGTCTGGGCCCAAAGCTTGGGGCCACCTCACAACCGTGGAGGGCGATAGCATTCACGTGGGTCCGCAGGTCCGTGCGGTCCTTATAGAAATACAAGGTGTTGCACTTTAGGCGGCACCAGCGTTCCTTCCAGCCATGGTTCACCAGCACATTCAGATAACCTGGGAGGAGAAGACCAGTGGTGTGACCTCCTAACAGCCCTGGGGGATACAAGTCAGGGTGCGTGGGTCTACACCCCGGGGACAGAGCACTTGGATAACCCTTGTCCTCTAGCTGGAAAGAAGGCCTTCTGGGTCCCGGATCAGCTCACTCGTGGCCTGTGACCACAGGCATCCTCTTCTGTCTCTGAATTTCAGTTTGTTATCTATGAAATGGGGACTGCTAATCATATTTGTACATACATGCACAGCTTTTAGACTATACCAAGCTTGATGAAAAGGGCAGAACTACCATGCAGAATGAATAAAAGACACAACTCTTCCTCTTGCCTTTCCTCCTAAAATGTCAAAACTATTACTGAAGACAGAAAATAATGGGTGATGCTGACACCTGGTGGCAGCATGTGGGAACGAAAACATCTAGCCAAGATAAAGAATTATAAAACAAGTAAGGGACAGGCTGATGGCTGACGAGTTTAGAATTCCCTCAGCGGTTTAGATTTTAACTTATTTTTTACCATAACATGTCCTGATCCACTTACAAAGTATTTCTTTATAGCCGTGTGCATTTATAATGTTCTTTCCAGGTCAGCGGAATATTAACTGTTTATCTAAAATACATGATTTTCTATTGGATTCCAGTACACGGAAAACTGCATTTAGATAGACAGTATGTTTTTTTTCCTTCCAAACTCCTTTTAACTCACATTGAATGCATTTCTAATGAAAAGTACTTAAAAAATTTTATCCAAGAAATATCCTTGTAAGACTGGGCCGTAACTTAAACACCTGGCATATTATATACGGGGAAGTAAGATACTCTCCTCTTGTCATAGTAGAGGAAGCTGAGGCCCAGAGGTGGGCAGTGATCGGCACTAAGGTCACAGGGAGAATAGAAATAGAGTCAGTTGGCTTTTCCTTCTGTTAGGCGTCAGGGCTTCATGGAGGAGAAGTGATGGAAGGGCATGGATTATTGATGGAGTGGGGGTTAGCCTTCCAGTAGGAGGATTCTGTCCTCTGCCTTGGGAGTGAGGTAGGTTAGGCCTGGAGGGTCTCCTGGCTTGGCCCCAGGAGCCCTCATCAACAGGGTCTGAATTCACATCCACATGCCCGGTACCCACCACAGCATGGAACCTCCTCCTCGGTAGAGGATGTCTGCGGGTCATCGGCCAGTGCCTTCTTCTTAGAGAAGCTGATGATACGGGTGATCTTGCGGCCCGCAGCCCTGCTCATTGAACCCTTCAGCTCTGACAGGCTGCTCTTCTTCCCTTTGCCTGTTGCCATGGAGATGGGTTAGGGGAGGGGAGGGAGGCCCAAGACCCAGATCCACCCACCCCTAGCCCTTCCCCCCAACCGTCCAGCCTGCACACAGGGCTTGGCCTACAGCTCCAGGTATGGATAGGCCAGGTCACATCACCTAGGTCTCCAGAGTGGTCAGGACCTGCTCTGCACTGTGTGCTTGTGGCGAGGCCTCTCCCAGCTCTAGCATTTTCCTGCCTGAGCCCCCAGAGGCTCCTACCGTGTTCGCGGCCAAGGGTGGAACAGTTGTCGCCCAGGCCCATGCTGTCGGAATCCGAGGTCTGCTTCTCTTGGGACAGCCTCTGGGGAGGGACACAGACAGCCCCCTATCAGAGGGCACACTTAGAAAGTTTTCCTTTGTTGGTTCAGTCTCCCCCTGACCCCTGTACATGAGGATTAGCTAACAAATATTTGTCAGCAACTGTCATGTGCCTGATACCGTACTGGTACGAGGAGGACAACGATGACTTAGGATGGTTGTGTCTTCCAGTTACTCACAGTCTATTTGGGGAGTGAGGAATTCAATATAACGGGCTGAGATTAATGTCCTAGGAGTTTGGACTACATTTGGTAGATGGGGAGCTGAGAAGGTATTTAAGTGGGACACTAATGGAGTTGGTTTTGGAAGCTGCCCCCAGCAGCATCACGGGGGTGGATAAGAGGGGGGCAAGACTGGACGCAAAAGAGGCACTTAGAGTGTCATCCTGGGCAAGCTGAGACTTGATTAGGGGGATGAACCAAGCGACAGTGAGGATGGAGAAAAAGAGATGAGTTGGCATTTTCAAAATAGTAATGACAGGACTTGGTGACCAGTAAATGTGAGTGGTGATGAGAAAGGAGTCCATTACAATTCTAGCTTGGATGAGAGGATGGTAAAGACGCATATACACACCATGGTAACAACTTCATTGTCAGCCAACATTAATTTTTACTCATTATGCCAACTCTGGACCAGTCATTCATTCATTCCTATTAGGGAGTGGTGCAGAGTAGTCAGATGGACCTTGGAATAAATGAAGTCTCTACTTAGCTGTGGGAATGTGGGAAAATCCTTTCATCTCCCCAAGGCTTCTCACTTGAATTACACCCCTTTCAGTGGGCTGCTGTGAGGTACCAGGGAACTGGCCCAAGTGAAACTGTGAGGCCAACAGACTGTATCATTTCTAACACCTGTTTGGTATGTGGCCATCTCACTTTAAGAAGCTAAATTATGCCAGCCAGACTCAGGACAAGACTAAAATGACACCCATCCATTTAAAAAGGTGGACTTACAGAGCTCTGAGGCCCCTAAACCTTTCCTGCCAAGGATACCCCAAACCAGGCTCAGGGATGCTTTGCTGTAGGCATAGTACTAGAAAGCAGGGGGAGATAAGAGAGGCCATGTAGTCCCCCCAATTTCCAAAGGCTGGAAAAATGGCAACTGTCAGAAATTCGTTAGAACTGTCAAGTATAAAGAATCACCCCTGTAAATTGTGAGACAGAAGTTATGGTTCTATTCTGTGATGGTGTACAGATGGTAAGTTTTTCATCAAGATAGAAAGCAAATACAAAGAAACACTGTGAGCACTTTGGAATTGACTTAATGATGACACCTCAATCACGGGAGTCCATGGAGAGACAGAGCCACCTATACCACGTCCTCACTCCCACTCTTCCCCAAAAATACCACGCTAAACATTTTAGCTACCCTCCCCCTGTACACTCAGCCACAGGAGAGCCCATCTCTACAGGCTTGCCTCTTCCTCCCCTCCACCCACCCTCTGAACTGCACCACAGCATGCAGCTAGCTGCAGGTGTGTGTACACACACACACTCTCTTTCACACTCACATACACACACTTTTTCACACTCACACACACGCGCGCGCCCTCAACACTGCTTTCCTTCAGCCCCAACTAATGGCAAAGGCCGAGTGAGCCCTCCACCCTTCCTCTCCTAATGACTCTGCTGACCCCACCTTTGCTTCTGCTGCTCCCTTCCCTTGCAGCCTCTGTCCCTTGGTCCACCTCTGCCCCAGTGGGGCAGAGTCTTGCCCATTCTTTAAGGCTCAACATAGGTGCCCAACCTCCCTAACCCCCCTTGCCCCTCCAGCCAGCATGAGCCCTTGTCCCCTCACTACGGCTTTCTAGGACAGTCGAATAGAGTTGACACGTTCGCCTTCTCTCCGAACCCATCCACACTGGCCTCTTTCCGTCCATGCTTCTTCCTGCTCCAGGGCCTGTTCTCCCTGTTTGGAATGCCTTTTCCCTCCCCCTCCTCACTAATTTTTCACCCTTCTCTGAATTGTGCTCCCTCAGGAAAGCCTTTCTTGACCCTGAGACAAGAGCAGCCCCTGTCATGTGCTCCCAGGGTACCTGGTACTTTTCCTTCCTGGCACTTACACAGCTTGGCATTTCTAAGTCTATGTGATTGGATTCATGTCTGAACCCCTTGCTGGGAGGGCAGGGGTTGTGTCTGTTACTGTTAGGACTTCACCCAGTGCCTAGCACAGTACCCAGTGCACAGCAGATGCTAACTAACTACAGTGGAGCTCAGGAAGCTCCCCTTGAGAGGCAGGCTGGCGGGGTGTAAATCAGTTCTGTTCCTTATTAACTATATGTGACTTTGGGCAAACCTCTCTGTGCCTTGGCTTCCTCTTCTGAAAATGTAGTTTATCAGAGTTGCTGTAGAAATTAAATTAGGTAATGCACGTAAAGCATTTAGGACAGTCCTGGCCACACAGTCATATTTTCTATAATGCTAGCCTTTATTATGTCACGTGAGACCCATGTATGGGAGTCTTTTTTTTTTTTTTCTTCGGTATGCAGACCTCTCACTGCTGTGGCCTCTCCCCAGCCCAGCCGCTCCGCGGCATGTGGGATCCTCCCGGACCGGGGCACGAACCCATGTCTCCTGCATCGGCAGGCGGACTCTCAACCACTGCGCCACCAGGGAAGCCCTGTATGGGAGTCTTAACTCTCCCCTTAGGATTTGGGGTGGAGTCCTTTGATCACCTACAGCACCTGGTGAAGCATAGGCATTAGCATATGTTTGCCATTGGCCTGACAGACTATGAAACAACCGTTTCACTTATGTGCCAGTGGGGCACACTCCTTCTCTGACTAATTCCAATTTAGTTTGCATGGCTCAGTTCCAACGTGACCTCTTCCTGTCCTGGCAGGGTAGTCACTCCCTCCTCAAGCTTGTACTGCACCTTGGACACGGGCATTCATTCATTCATGAATTCAGTAGACATTTATTGAATGCCTACTGTTAATGCCTGGCTTTACCACCAGCCTGCAAGTCCCCTGGGGCAGAGCCCGTGCGGAATCCCCACTGCCTGGCCCAGAGGGAACCTTGAGAAGACAGAGGTACCTTGTCCAGGTCCACCTTGCACAGGAGGACTGGGGATCTGGGCACATCTGCCCCCTCAGCACCCCCAACCGACTTGCTGACCTCTCGGATGACCTGTGGAGAGGACACACATCTGTGAGCAGGAGGGCAGGGACTCTGTGGAGGCAAAAGCAAGAATGGGGTCTGTTGGTCAGGGCCATCAGGCAGAGCAGCTGGGATCACTGGGTGGAAGAGATGGGTTGATGTGGCCTCCTGCCCCATTTGTGGGGTACGTCAGGATCTAAACAGGCCTTTTCCTGTGTCTGTCCCTTGAATTGGGCCCAGAGGCTTGGCTTCTAGATCTGGTGCCATTACTAATTAGTTGCGTGGCCTTGGGAAAGCCATTTCCCCGCTCTGGGCCTTAGTTTCCCCATCTGTAACATGGGGATATTAGTGGTCCTCTGCTTATTACGTCCTTGGGTGTGTGAGGACCAGTGAGATGATGGGTGTGAAGGGCCACGTGAACCAGGATGCCCTGCACAGGCATGAGGACTCGCTTCTGTGACATGTTGGAACTTTACAACAACCTGCAGGGCAGCCAGGGTTATTCTTTCCATTTCAAAGATGTGGAAATTGAGACTCCAAGGCATTCACCTGAGGCCATGCAGCACAAGCATCCACACCATGAAACAATAACGGACCACTTGCTGCTCATCTGTCAGGTGGCTTTGTGTGGATTATCCCATTGTATCCCCACAGCAGCCTTGTGGGGCAGGGGCACCTTGATCCCCAAATTACAGATTAGGATGATGAGGCTCTGAGAGGCGAAGCCATGGCTGCCTGCCCTATCCTCTGGGCTAACTGGCGTGCCAAGGCAGGCCTCTTAACTCTAGGTCTAGGGCTTCTTCTTCTGACCCAACCAGCCCCTTGAGGACAGAGCACTCTCCCCCACCCCCACCCCAGCATGCAGGTTCTCTCTCTTCCTTCCCCTCCTGAGACAAAGGCAGTAATGAGAAACAGTAAACATCCCAGTGGGAGAGCTGGTTATCACAGGAAGGAAGGGAGGATGGGGAGGGAGGGAAGGAGGGGTTTGGTTTCTTTGTTCCAGCAGGAAGATCAGAGGAGGGGAGAGCTGCTGTAAGGGCCTGGGGGTGAGGGCTTCATCATCACTGCAGAGCAGTCACTGACAGTTACTCAGGACTTACTGCCTGGCAGGCCCTGTATCAAGTACTCTCTAGAATCCTTACAAGAACCATTTTTTAGAGGAAGAAACTGAGGCACAGGGGAGCAAAGTCCTTTGCAGAAGATCACACAGCCAGTAAATGCCACTTAGGTCTGGGACTTGAACTCAAGTCTGTGTGGCGCCCAAGTCCTCCCTTGTCATCAGTATGCCACCCTGCCTGTCGCCTTTGGGGTAGGTTTCCTTATTTGCTTCTAATCCTTGCCTGAACCACTTGGTGGTTGACCTTGGGTGAGTCACAGAAGCTCTCTGTGCCTCAGTTTCCTCATCTGTAAAATGGGAACAATATTAGTCCCACTGTGAATAGTAAATGAAGTCATGTGTATAAAGCTCTTAGCACAATGCATGGCACAAAGTAAGTGCTCAGTACATGGTAACTCTAATTGTTGTGTAGCTGCAAGCCACAGAGGCTGGGTCATAGGTGGATGTGATAAGTATGCACGTTTCACCTAAGGTAAGAAAGAGTTTCTCCTTTATTAAAAGAAGAAAAAGGATTAGCTTGTCTAATGATAAAATCAACTTCCTTTGTAGGTATTAAGCTCCTCATTCCTGGAGATATACATTGCAGGTAGGATAAACCCACAGTAGGCGTGTTAGAAAGGGGATTCAAATAACTAGAAGGAACACAGGTCTCCAGCCTGAGGTCTGTCTCCTGGAGATGTCCGAAGCCCATTTCCACATAAAGCCCTAGCTTTATGTGAAGGGCACTGACCCCTTCTCCCCTGAGCAAGGCCTGTTCTTCCAGTGACAGGGGCCCACTCCATTGAGGGCTGGGTCTGGGGGAAGAGAGGAAGGAAGGAGGGAGTGGGGGTGGGCAAAGGCACAGCCCCCCTGTACCTTCAGCCACTCCTCGGCCTGCTCCCGGCTCTGCAGTGCCAGCACCAGGACTTCGGTAGCCCCCTGAGAGAAGCGCAGCTCGTGCCTCTTGTGCCGGCTGTCCTTGGGCACGTAGATGACGTTGCAGACATCCAGCGCTAGCCTCAGATGTGGCTGCCGGTCCTTGGAGCTTTTGTAACACTGGACAGGAATAGAAGGGGTTAGGGCCTCCTGGAGTGGAGAGTAGAGGGAGGAGACAGGGAAACTCAACCTACCCCACAGAGACCTCCCCACCCAGTCCAGCTGTGGGCACTGCATGAAGACAGGGGCTGTTCACCACAGAGAGGAGAAGCCTGGGAGGGGCATCTTTGGGCAATCTCCAGATCTCAAGGGCCACTGAGCGGTCCCAGGGGTCACAACTACCTATTTAGGAAGAAGCAGATTTTAGCACAATACTAGGAAGACTGTTTTAGTCTAAAGAACCAGAGAAGAAACAGGCTGTCTTGGGAGGAAGCCAACTCCCTGCTATTAATGGGCTACATGACAGAAATGTGGGGGAGAGAATTCTAGCAGAGATGGAGGGTTGGGCTTGGGAACTCAATAGTTTATCAATAATGGTTCTCACTTCCCAATTCTTATTATGAGGCTAACATTACCTTGATACCAGCACCTGACAATGACATTACAAAAAAGGAAATCATAGGCTAATCTCTCTCGTAACATGGTTATAAAAACTCAAACAAAATATTAGCATATAGAATCTAGACACACACATATGCATAGAGACCAAGTCGGGTTTATTCTAAGAGTGGGTTATCATTCAAAAATTAACTGTATAATTCATCATATTAACAGAAAAAAGGAGAAAAACCATATATCCTAATAGAAGCAGAAAAAATATTTGATAAAATTCTGCACCCATTTGTAACATAAACTCTTAGCAGACTCTTAGGGGAGAACTTCCTTAATGTGATAATAAGGAACACCTACAAAAAACCCATGGCAAAACATCAGTTTTGATGGTGAATTATTGAACTTTCCTTCGAGATCTGGATTGAGACAAGAATGCCTGCTCTCACCATTTCTGTTTACATTGTACTGGAGGTCCTAGGCAGTACACTAAGTCAAGAAACAGATAGAAGGCATAAGGTATGGAAAGAAGTAAGTCATGATTCTTGGCCTGGTTCTGGCCTGGGATGAGCTTTTCACTGCTGCAGCGTGAGCAAAGGTCATGTTTCAAATGTATGTATGTTCGGTAAGACTTGCCAATAGGTAAACAAGCTATCTCATTTTTTTTTTTCCTGAAATTATGTCCATCCTTATACTTTGGAAGTAAAGGTACATTTCTTTTATGAAATACTAGTGATGAGAGATGGTGAGTTAAAAAAAAAAAGTTTAAAAAAGCGAGTTATATAATAACAAGTATTACACGGGCTCAGTTTTAGAAAAGACAGATGTATGGAAATGAGGGTGGAAGTTTATACATCAAAATCTAACTGTGGTTAGCTCTTGGTCAACGGGGTTAGGTGGGTTTTTAAAAAAAATCATTTTTCATTTTATTTACTTCTGGCTTTATAAATAAATACATTTACTTGCATAATGAAAAATGATAAACATTGTTTTAAAGTGATAAAAAATTCATGTCTGGCAAAACAAAACTTGATAAAGTCTTTATCAGGTCTTCAGGTTTTGTTTTGTTTTTTAATTCTTCTCAGGCGGGAGAGCCCTGATCTCAGAAGCACCGGGCTTTGAGCCTCTGTGCACAAAGCAAACCTAGAGGAACTGAGGCAGACATGCCTGAATGCACACAGATACACAGACACACGCGCAGGCACATGCAAGTCCACGTGAGGCCGAGAGGCACTCGTCTGTGGCCACTCACCAGGAGCTGATCCTCCTTGATGACGGTTAGCTGCTTGGCCCACTGCCCGAAGCGCTTTTTCCGCAGCAGGAAGGCACATATCCTGCAGTCCCTCACCAGGTGCATGGAGGCCTCCTCTGAAGGCCACTGGTGTGTGGGCTGCGGCCCCTTCCCTTCCTCCTCCTCCTCATCATAGGACTCGTAGGAGCTGCTCATGGCATCAGAGTCATTGTCTGCAGGAGCCACGGGAAAGGACCCGTCCCTGTGCCGTCACCAGGTGGGGGGGCACCTTCTTACCCCTCTGCAGGCATCCCTGCTCTGGGGCCCCGGGGCTGTGAAGGGGTGGGTGTGAGGTGTGATGTTGGTAATGACTAAGCCCCCGCATGGGCACTGTGTCTTACAGATTTACTACTTGCTTTGTGATCTCAGTGACTTCATCTCTCAGAGCTTCAGTTTCCTCATCAATAATAATGAATAATACCTACCTCACTGGGCTATTGTGAACAGCAACAAATACAGAGTGTTTAGCCGAGTGTCTGGCACTCAGTGAGGGCTCAGTAAACATCAGCTTTTGTCTTTACCCATCATCTTTGCATCCATTGTCTCAGGTCATTTTCATGGCACCCAGCAAGTCCCCATTTTATACAGAGGAATCTGGAGGCTCAGAGAGAAGAAATCACTCACCTCAGGTCAGTCACCAAGAGTCAGGGCAAGGGCTTGGTCTGGGCCTCCTGGCTCCCATGCCAGTAGTCTTCCCACTGATTCCCAGGGTCTCTGAGAACAAGGGCTTTGAGGCCTCCGTGGCGACCCCAGGGAGGTGACGGGGTGGTAGGCACGTGCATGCCAAGGTCAGGTCAAGGCCTGCTCTTCGTGAGGACGGAATTGGACTGAACATCCACCTGGTACTTACAGGAGTTCTTCAGCTCCCCATTCATCCTGGTCGTGGGGTAGCTGCTGTCTGCATCCTCGTAGTAGCTGTCTACAATCGAGTGGGCTGGGCTGCAGTCGTCTGTGGGGTTGGCAGAAAGAGCAGTACTTGGAGAAATGCAGGCAGACTCCAGGCGCTAGGGCTGGGGAAGATCGAGGACACCATGCCCTCCTCAGGGAAGAGGGAGGGAAGAGGGAGTAGAGCTTCTTGTCGTCACTCCCCGGCCAGGGTGTGGGGCCTCATCTCTGCATCTCATCTGCTCTAGCTCCACACCTGCCCCCTGTGCTCCTGTCACCAGGAACTGCCTTGCTGGGCCCTGTCACACTTCCAGGCTTATGTTCATGCTGTTCTCTGTGCCCTCTTAGCAACTGCTAGAGCATTCCTCACCCTCTAAAACCCAGCTCGGAGATCTTTCCTTTGACCTTCCCAGGCAGAGAGTGGTCAGCCCCTCTCCTCTGACCCCAGAGCATTGGTGTGTGTGGGTGTGTGTTTCAGTCACAGTTCTGGTCCCTGCACTGCAGGGAGTGGTGTCCCAGCACCTGGGCTCAGACCCCCTTTCTATTCTGCCTTTGTCTCATCTTCTTCCACTTCAGCCCCTCCGCTCACTTCTTAATACATCCACCCCCTCCTCTCCTTCTAAATTTCTGTGACTACAGAGGAGGAACTGGACTAGGGGAGATAATAATAACACATAAAATGGTGAATACATACAATAACACAACAGTTGCTGATGCTGAACTTTCACTTTCCCATTCATGGGAATCAGTGCAGTATAGGAGTGAGGTTATCCCAAATTGTATTCTGTATCACAATTACCGGGGGTCTTTTTATTTATTTATTTTTCTTTTCCATTATAGTTTATTACAAGATATTGATTATAGTTCCCTATGCTATACAGTAGGGCCTTGCTGGTTGTCTATTTTGTATATAGTAGCTTGTATCTGTTAATCCCAAACTCCTAATTTATCCCCCCCACCTTTCCCCTTTGGTAACCATAGGTTTGTTTTTTATATCTGAGTCTGTATCTGTTTTGTAAATAAGTTCATTTGTATCATATTTTAGATTCCACATATAAGTGAAATCATATGGTATTTGTCTTTCTCTGACTTCACTTAGTATGATAATCTCTAGGTCCATCCACGTTGCTGCAAATGGCATTATTTCATTCTTTTTATGGCTAATATTTCATTGTGTGTATATATACAGATCTATCTATCTGTCTTTCTCTCTATCTCACATCTTCATTACCCATTCATCCGTTGATGGACATTTAGGTTGCTTCCATGTCTTGGCTATTGTAAATAGTGCTGCTATGAACATTGGGGGTACATGTTATCTTTTCGAATCAGAGTTTTCTCCAGATATATGCCCAGGAGTGGGATTGCTAGATCATATGGTAACTCTATTTTTAGTTTTTTGAGGAACCTCCATATTTTTTCCATAGTGGCTGCACCAATTTACATTCACTGGGGGTCTTTTTAAAATGCAGATCCCTGGACTGTATCCCCAGAGATTCGGATTCACTGATGTGGGCTGAGCTGAGGAATCTGCACTAAGGAAAAAAACTATTTAATAGCATAGTTCTAAACATATGTAAAAAGAGAAAATACATGGAACTCCAAGGAATCAGACTTTTTTAAAACAAGATTATTTTCATACAGATGGTCTCTGGAGCATACTTTGAAGCTCAGTGGATTAAGGGCATGTGCTTTGGGGTTAATCAGATTTGAGTTCAAATCTTTCTCCATCATTTACTGAGTGACCTTGGAAAGAAAACAGTTTCTCTGCATTTCAGATTCTTTACCTATAAATCGACATGAACAGTTCTGACCTTGGATTAGTGATATGATGCATATGAACTCTCAGCACAATGCCTGGCACACAGAACATCCTAGGCAAATACTAGATATCATTATATTTATCATCTCTTTTGATTCCCACAATGCAGGGAGGTGGGTATCAGACCCACTTCACAGATGAAGAAACTGAGGCCACACATTTTGCTAGTGATAGAGCCTGGATCCGAACTGAGGTTGCCAGCTCGGGGGACAGGTGCACATCATCTCCTCCAGGAAGCTTCCTCCTTTCAGACCAACTTGCTCTCACACCACCTGTTCCTCAGACCACTGCTCTGGGCTCTCAGCCCATGCTGTCCATCTGTTTCTTGAGGACGGCAGCACTCAAATTCCCAGTGACTGGGACACCCAATTGTATCTCCCAAGTGAGGCTCAGAGCCTGCTTTTCCCAGGAGGCATTCTGAGGTCTCAGATGCTGGTGACATCCCTGTGAGGTGGCCTGCGGGTGCTCAGGCCAGAGGTGGGGGTGGGGAAGGAGGAGGTGCAAGGGGGAAGAGGGAGGGAGCACCAGGGTCATAGCACTTGGACACCTGGTAGGCTGGACCCTGTGCGAGAGGAAGGATATTTCCTGTCGGGCTTGTTGCCCTCTCCCTGGATAAGGTCCCTGGCCTTTCCTGAGGCACTCCCTACCCTCCTGCCCCAGGATCCCTGCTGCTCCAGGAGGCAGCTTCTCTGCCCCATCTGAGCTCTCGGGGCAGGGGGTGGGGGGAGCCTCGCTCAGTTGAGGGGCTGGTCCTGGGATTCAGGGCCCAGCAGCACTTCATCCCCTCCTTCTTCCTCGTCCTCAAGTGGGTAAAATAAAGTCACCTGCTTCACATAAACAGCTGCTGGCAGTGACATAGACCCCAAGACTATCAAGGCTGAAGGAGGGGCATTGATCACCTGGTCCAACCCCACCATTTCAGTAGTTTTATTTGAACTAGTTTATTAATCATAAAAATAATATACCATAATAGCCTAAAGGTGGAAATACCCAAATGTCCATCAACTGACAGATGATAAACAAAATGTGGTATATCCATACTATGGAATATTATTTGTCCATAAAAAGGAAGTACTGATACATGCAATGACATGGATGAACCTTGAAAACACTATGCTAAATAAAATAATCCAGACATAAAAGGCCACATATTGTGTGATTCTATTTAAATGAAATATTCAGATTAGGCAAATCCATAGAGACAGAAAACAGATTGGTTGAGAGAGGAACAGAAAGTGACTGCTTATTGGGTATGGGGTTTCCTTCTGGAGTGATGAAAATGTTTGGGAACTAGATAGTGGTGGTGGCTGCACAACACTGTGAATGCACTAAATGCCACTGACTGGACACTTTAAAATGGTTGGAGTGGTCAGTTTTATGTTATGTGTATTTACTACAACATGGTGAAAAGCACAATCAGTACAGAAGAGTACGAATGGGAAAATATGTTCCCTTTCACCCAGATTTCTATTCATTTCCTATAGGAAAATACTGTTAAGAGTTTCTTGCATATCCTAGAAAAACTGTTAAATGCATGTGCGTGTGAGTACCCTATTTAAAAACAAATGTGATCTTGTTATATGCAGTATTCTCTTTGATTTTTTTTTCCAATATATGTCTTGGGATTCATTTCTGATCAGCACAGACAGACCTATCTTATGTATTTTTTGGTGGTTGGAGAATATTCCACTGTGCTGCTGAATGATAGGATAACAACACACAAACATCTTATAGGTTCAACTACACATGCTGCGTCATCCAAAAACCATAATAGAGTTTCTTGTATGTAATGTTAAGTCCCTACACTCAAGCCAGTAGCACTCGTCTGTGAACTTCCGTCCTAGTGCATTTATATGTGTGTATCTAGCCCCTTTCTTATTTTAAGGGTAGGGGAACAGAGGCCCAGAGAGGGGAAGGGGGTTGTCCAAGGTCACATAGAACTGGGACTAGAACCCAAGCCCCTAACCCCCAGGCCATGCCTACCGGCCCACCCAGGCTGTCACTGGAGAAGCCAGATGCTCTGGTAGCTCCTCCTCAGTAGGGCATGGCTGAATGGTGCCAGGCTTGGAGCTGCAGCCCCAGCAGGACACACAGGAGCTTCAGGAGATGAGCCTTCTCCTCCGCACGCCCCAGCCCTCAGTGACAAGAACTTACTGTGGGAGCTGATATACTCGGGGGACTTGCCAGGCCCCAGGGGAAGGGCCTCCTCATAGTATTCCTCAGGTGGAGGCCTTTTGGGGAGCGGTGGAGGCAAGTCGGCTGCCTGAAGGAGGACAAAGGAGGTGTGTGAAACCCAGAAGGCCAGGAGAGCAGAGGGGAGCAGGCAGAGTGACAGGGAAGAGGCTGGGGGACAGGGAGCTCCTAGAAGGCAGGATGCAGTCTCTGAATATGAAAGGACGTAATGAGTGGTCAACACTTGGTACCATTTATGGTGATGATGATAGTGAATTATGCAGTTGACAGACAATGTTTGATGTGATTTGGGCCCCTTGTCCTAATTCCATGGCACCAAAGGGTAGGAACCCTAGATATGATCCAGACCTTCATTTTTGTAGCTAGAAAACTCAGGCTCAGAGACAGGAAGTGATATGCCACACAGCAGAAGGGAGGAGGGCAGAGGCCACCCATCTTGTGACCCAGAGCTTTCCCCATCACTCTTCCTGTGGTACTGAAATCGGAGGTTGGGGTGGGGATGTCCTCTGGGTCTGAAGGGACAGGTCAGTTTACCGCATTATCCCTGCTCGGCACGGGCACAGTGAGCATTTCATGAGTCATTGAAATGTTCTCACAGTGCTTTTTCTGCCCTCGACCACCGCACTGAAGAGAGAGACCCCCAGGAGGGTCCCCAGCATTAGCAGGGAGAGCTTCCCTTACCTCCTCCAGAGGAACAGAGGGCCTGAGAGTGTAAGAACTCACGTGTCTCAGAGGTGGGCTCTTGGCTGGCTCAGGGGTGGCTTCTTTGCAGGACTCCCTGTCGTCCTCTGTCATGTCTCGAAGGTCGCTCAGGTCACAGTCTATGAAGGGTCAGGCCATTGGGACAGAGAAAGTGGAGGATGAACATGGCAGAGTGAGAAGAGGGCTAGATTTGGGGTCAGGAAGCTCCACCACCTCCTCCATTAGTGACCCTGGTCAAGCGACTTCATCCCTCTTATCTGTAAAGTGGTCACAATGATCCCTGCCTTGTCTAGCTCCCAGTGTTATCGAGAGGATCAAATGGGATAATACTGTACAGTGCTTTGGAAACTTTCAAGGGTTATGCAATGAAGGCATAGTGTTTTCCCAAAGTCTGTCAGTCTGTAAGTCCTCTCATCTGACCCACAGCTTTCTCCCTGTGTTGAACAGTGCTGTCTTCCCTCAGGATAGTTCTGGGATCACACACACCCTGCACCCAGCACTGCTCAGCTGCTCCCACACCCTTGGCGCCTCTGCTAGTCCTCACAGCTCCATTTACTGCTGAGCTGTGGGACCACTCAACTCACAGACCAGGTAGCTACTGAGATGGATGTTAGCAGCAGACAAGACGACGCCCTATGTGCCAGCCTTCTCTGGACTGCGCATTCATCCCTACCTTTCCTCAAATGTCAGGGATGATTTCCCGTAACTGTACGGATTTGTCTAGATTTTCAGTCCTGGCAGGGCCCAGAAAGGCAAAGGGACTTTCCCAAAGTGACTCAATGTTGCAATGTTAGAGCCAGGCCCAGATGCAGGTATTTTCCTGCCCAATCCGGGGACCGTTCCAGAGACTGGGGCAGTGGACACGCACGTGGGGGAAAGGATGGCTTCCAGCGGAGGTCAGGAGAGGGCTGCTTACCGAATTCTTCAAAGAGGGACTCCACAAAGCTGGGTCCGGAATGGAGGTCCGCTGTGTTCACATACAGGTAGGAGACTTCTTTGGCTGTGAGGAAGGGGGAGAGCGGGCCCTCAGTGAGGAGGGGCCGGGACCGCTGCTGGTGCTGAGGGCGGCCAGCTCACCCTGCCCACTTGCACTTCCGTCCCACACAGGACACAGCATTCGGGTTGTGAAGCATGTGCATAGCCTAAATCATTTCCCTGCTTTCAAACTCTGTTTCCCTTTTTACATTGTTATTGAGGATCTCCTTCTCCAAGTGAAAGGATGCCCAGAGCCCAGTATAGAGAACAGAGTAGAGGGGCTGCTTTGGGGACAGTCAGCAAACTGCTGCCCCTTTCGTCCTCCAACAGTCCTGTGAGGGTGGCCGATGACACTGACCCCTTTTGTCGCTGGGAAGTGAGGCTCAGTGTCACCCAGTGGTGACTTCCCCCCATGTCACTCAGACCCCTTCAACCCTGCGGGACATGGTACAGCTCATTAGAGTTTCCTGAGCTCTTGATGTACACATATCATTTCTTGGGCTCACTTGAGGTTGGGGAAAAGGCTGGAGCAGATGAGGAGGCTTTGCTGCTGAGCACACAGTGAGGCAGAGAGGCAGTGGGGAATAGAGGGAGAGGCATGAGTAGAGATGGGGGGCAGGTACGCAGCTTATAAAGATGAGGGAGTGTGTGAGTGTGCATCTGAGTGTAGGAGTGTGTGATGTGTATGTGATGAGTATGTGAGTGTGTTGCATGTGAGAGCGTGTGGGGTGTGTTGTGTGCGGTGTGTTTGTTACTATGTGAGGTCTACGTGAGAGCATGTTTTGTGTGTGTGAGTGTGGTAGTAGTGTGTACATGAGTGTGCGTGGCATGTGTGTTGTGTGAGTTTGTAGAGGGCTGGGGATGGAGGAGGACAAAGAGCACAGTCAGGGCTGTGGTGGAGAAGGGCTGGAGTGGATGGGGACGCTGGCTGAACCATGAAGAGAGGTGAATGCCATGCTGTGCAGTTTAGGCTTCCTCCTGCCAGCAGGCCCTGGGGAGTTACTGAGGGCTCTGGAGGAGCTCTGTGCGGAGTGCTGGTGGCTGACCTGGGAGGGGCTGCAGGCTCTGCAGGATGGAGGCCACAGCCATCTTCTTCTCCAGGGTGGTGTCGCTGAGGTACTCATGGTCCAGGAGGCTGAGCAGCCCTGTGAGCTCGGGGAGCAGCTGCTCCAGCACTGAGGAGGAAGGCCCGTGGAGCATGGTCATGGCTCTATGTCCAGGATCTGGGCCCACCCCCACCCTCCAGGACCCAGGGAAGCAGGGGCCAGAGGACGGGGCCCAGGGCAACAGGGAGACCTCAGAGGCCCTCACACAGCTGTCCCAGCGCTGGCCACCAGCCTCCCTGGGGAGAGCTCTGCTCAGTTAACTGTGACGTTTTTCTGGCCTCCCCACTCTGCCTCAGACCTCATTCTGGGCTTGGCCGGAGGACTGAACTTCCCAGGTAGCCTGAGCGGAGGCACTTAGCCCTCTCTTTGTCCCAGCCTGCCCTCTGCTTTGCAGGCCTAGGGGTCCTTCCTCACTGCAGCTCGAGGGTCAGTGCAGGTCCCAGGCAGGAGCCCTGGCTGTCCAGGACACAAGGCAGGAAGGAAGCCTTCCTGTCCCATCAGTCCATACCCTTCAATCTCTGGAACCTTCTGTTTCCGGTGGCTTGACAGGAGCCAAACTAAACATTAACCCTTCCCACCCCTGGCCAAAAACTCTTGTGTTTCTCAAACTTAAGTGTATATAGGAATTACCAGGGGATCTTGTCAAAATGCAGATTCTGACTCAGGAGGTCAGGTGTGGGGCCTGAGATTCTGCATTGCTGACAAGCTCCCAGCTAAAACTGATGATGCTGGTCTGAGACCACACAGAGCTGCAAAATCTTAGAGCACAGAGTCCTTTAAAAAGACTGGAGCATGCCAAGACCATGATGTCATCAATGTCTCCCTGTCCCAAAGCAGTATCTTGGGACTTGATTTGCCTTAGAGCTGAAGACCAACTTCTTTACAGTAGTAGTATTGTCCTCCTTTGCAACTTGCCAATCACTTGTGCCTAATAATATGAGCTGACGTGTGTTGAATAAGTATTGTGAGCTGTGCTAAGTCCTTTCATACTTATTGTCTTATTTAAATCTCATAGCGTACATTTTATTATCTCCATTATATGGAGGATACAGCTACGGCTCAGAGAGTTTAAACCACTTCTCCAGCGCCACACAGCCAGTAAAGCTTCAACTGAATCTGGTTCCCTCACTCTATACTTTAAACCATGGCACTAGATCGCTTTGCAGTATTTTATAGGATCCTACCAAGTTTTGAGATTGGTCCGATGATCATGCCCATTTTTTAGGTGAAGAAACTGAGGTTCAGAGAAGATAAGTAACTTGCTTGAAGTTACACAGACAAGTGGAAGAGCCAAGATTTAAGCCCCAGTCTCTTGACTCCCAACTCCACGTGCTTCACCCCACCAAAGCCCTCCTGAGGAAATGGTGAGACTCTGACTTGCAGCTACAGGTCTGGATGTGTAAGAGGGGCTGTAACATGGTGCATAAGAGAATCAGTCCTGGAGCCAGATTTCTTGGGTTCACGTTCAGGCTCCATTATTTATCAGCTGTGGACCTTTGGCAAGTTACTTAACCGGTGACTCAGTTTCCCTCTCTGTAAGGGGATGAAATAACAGCACCGCCTCATAGGGTTGCTGTGAGGATTAATATTGCCATGTGTGGAAACTGCCTTGCCCCGAACATAGTAAATCTCACCACAAGTCAGCTATGATTACTGTCATTATAGTGTCTGCCATGCTGATCTGTGCTGTGAGATGTGAATATCTGTCTCCCTCAGGAAGACTCTGAGGCTCTGGCAAGTGTGAACGGTACTATGAATCTCAGCTTTCTTAGCATCTAGTATGGGGCCTGCTCAGAGTGGGTGCTCTATGTATGTTAGATGAGAGAGGGAATGGAGAGATGACCACACTAGGACTTTTTTAAAAAATAGAAATTTTATGTACAGAGAGTGGCACTTGTTGGAAAAATGTGATGTTGTAATCTCTCTGTGCCATTTCCAACATCACCTCAAATTTGTTGGAAATGAGCTCAAGGCTGATACTGACAGCTACCACCTCGTGGGCTCTCTCTATCTCTGGGCCCTGAGGTAGGGGCTTTCCACACCATGTTTCATCTCATCCCCCCTACACACCTGTGAATAGGTCCTACTGGGACACCTGTTTTCTAGGAGATGACTTTGAGGCTGAGGGAAGCTGTGGGACAGTTGCACAGCTTGAAAGAGGAGGAGCCAGGCTGATCCCAAGTTTGCGTGATTCCTGGAGCTGCTGTGTTGTACACCTCCAGGCCTCACTCCAGAGCCCACGTGAGGGGCCTCGAGGCCCTGCTTCCTCCAGGGCCGGAGCTCCTGCAGTGCTACTGGGCGAGGATTCTGGAGGGACAGAGCTCTCTCTTTGAAGTAGGAAATCATTTAAAATCATTTTAGCCAAGTTTTATCTGTTTTGGAGGAAACCTTTTCAAATGGAAACACAAACCTCTCTGGCACCAACAGACACACCAAAAGTCAGTTAACTGTAGTCCAAAATATGTCCTGATTTACTCTAATTATGTGCCAGTCTGGCCACTTGGGGGAATTAGAAAATGAGTAAGATATTGTTCCAGTGGCATTCTCTCTCCCTCTCTTTCGTAATTACTCACCAGGGAGGCCGTGGAAAATGCTATTAAGGAAGGCACCAGAGGGTAACCATGGGAGCTTTCTTGTGGCCTGCAGCCATGGTTCATGTTTGAAAATCCATGACGCTGCCCTGCTATCATTTAGGAGTGTCAAGGCTATAGGATGCAGTGGCCATTTATCTCTCTAACCAGTGGCTCAGAAACTTTCTGGCCTCAGAATTCCTGTACACTTTTAACAATTATTGAAGACCCCCAAAGAGCTTCTGTTTTTGGGGGGTTATTTCTATCAGTATTGAGTTTATTAACACTTAAAACTGAGAAAAACTTAAAACACAAAAGTATATAGTCACACATTCCATTAACCTTCAGAGCTACCACATCATCACACATCATATAACCTTTGGAAAACTCTACTGTGTACCCGTAAGACAATGAGAGTGAAGAGGGCACATAAGGTCTTAGTGACATATAAAAGCAGGTTTGACCTTGGGGACCCCCCAAAGCATCCCAATCCCCAGCCACACCTTTCTGAGAATTGCTATCCTTCAATAAATGACCTCAGATTGCTAAGCTTTTTGTATTACTTACATCAGTCAGTCTGTCTGTCTTTCCCTCCCTCCCTACCTGCTGCCCTTCCTTTATTTCTTCTTTTTTGGCTGTGAGGTTCCAAGGATTTCTTGCTGCTATCAGCAAGTGCCTTGTGGGCAACATTCTGGCTTCTAAAAGCTCTCCTGCTTCTAAAGTAAGAACAATTAGTTTCTGATTGAGTTCTCTGCATTTAAAAACATGAGTCTTAGTACCCAAGCTTTGTAACACCTTTCTTTGTTGTTGTTTTTCCTGGTCCTTGGTGGGATTCCTGACATGGGCCCTTGACTTCTAAGTGTTTTTCGTTTAACCGAGTTGTGATCACGAAAGTCCAAACAGAGCAAAGGAGGGAGCTGAGTAATCTGGGAGAAGCACATGGGGAGTCAGGAGCTGCCTGGTCCTAGTGGCACTGCTTTCTGCAGCCTGGGAACTGGCAGACAGCAGGTGGCGGCAGGAGAGTTACATAGCGATTCTAAGGTACAGTTGGCAGAGGGAGTGTGAGCCCTGGGAGAAAGCTCAGCTTGTAGCATTAATGGGCAAGAATCCTTCCTTGAGCTGAGCAGTTACCGTTGTGCTGGGCAGTTAATGCACATTATCTCATTTAATCCTCACAAACCACACAAGTCTCTCTATCTATGTTCTAAGCGGGAGGAAACGGAGGCTTAGAGAAGTGAGGTCACCCAGCCAGTAAGCTGTAAGGCCAGGCTCTCTGACTTCAAAGCTTGCACCCCTGTGCCTGAATCCTCCACCAGAGGACTTGGGTTCAGAGAAGGGGAGGCCAGGTGGAACAGGGAGGAGGCAGGTGGTCCCTCAAAGCCTGCCTGCTGAGCTGGGTCATGACTTCACTGGGGCTCCTGACCTGGAGGTCCTCTCACTGGATGGATTAGAGACCCTTACTGTGGGGCTGAAATCCTGCTCAGTGGGCCTTTCTCCACTGGGCCCATTGAACTTTAGAGCCCTACGTGTGTAGATCTCAGAGAAGAAAAACAAGTGACTCAAAGCTTATGCCTGATTTACCAGCGGAATGTCATCCCAGGGAGAAACTTATACATCATGGTTAAAAGAAAGCTTCCAGCCAGCGCTCCACTCTTTAAAGACAATACAGAACTCTCCAGCTAGCTTTCAGGTGTGGTGAATACAGATGTGCCTTTCATGGCACCTTCGTCTTTAACACCAGAGAATTCAAACCACAGGGATTTAAACCATCAACGAATTTAATTTGGAGAGAAATCATATGCATATAATGATGTAATGCTTATGACAAATGGTCATACCCTCTCCCAGGGCGTTTGCTGGAAGTGCAGATTCCTGGACCTCCTATCTGAGAGTCTGATTCAGTAGGCCCTGTACTGGGACCCAGGAATCTGCATTTTAATGAGTCCTCCAGGTGATTCCAAGGTTCAACCTCTGAAAAATACTCCACCAGAAAACATACTAGAGGGCATGTCTGTGAACATAAAGAATGCAAAGATGGGCACATTAGAGAAGTCTGAGCCATGGTTTTCTCATCTGTAAAGTGAGAATAGGATCCCAATCTCCTAGGCTGGGAGAACTAGGTAAGGTCATGCTTGTAAAGCACTTTGTTTGGTGCTGTGCCTGGAGCCAGCACTCATCAACGAGGCCGTATTATTGTTGTTGTTGCTGCTTCCTAATATTCCCCAGAACTATGCAAACTCCGGAGTATTGACCAGATAGTATTTAGCGACAGATTTGCTATAGTTGTTGTAACAGGCTTTATGAGGGCACGTCTTAATCTGTGTTTCAATCATAGTAGATGCCCAACAAGCATCTATTCGTTGAACACAATATTTTGATGACCTAGTCCAACCCTCTAATTTTAAAGATGTGGAAAGTGAGGGTTCAAGAGGTTATTTGACTTAGCGACGGTCACGCAACTAATTGAAAATGAGTATCTAGTGTTAAATTTACCCTAGG